TATATATATATATATATATAATTAAATATTATGTATAAAAGTTAAAAAAGAAACATTTGCTACTTGAATTATTATTTCTCGTTAGATATATAATGAAATAAATGGTACGGTTTATTTCAGAAACATGGCACGACGAGCAAGCCGTTAAAACCAGTACGGTTAGACAGCGAGGAGCAGGCGAAGATCGCCAAGGCGGGCCTCGAGATGAAGTTGATAACCTCGGAAATGGATGCCGAGACGGAAAAGTGGCAGGAGAGTGGAAGCGCTCTGGAGGAAAACAATGACATCGTGAAGCGGGCGAAGAACATGTCATCAATGGCATTCTCGATGTATCAATTCACGCGAGGCGAAGGCGCTCTGAAAACCACCCAGGATCTATTCACCCAAGCTGAGTATTTCGCCGAGGAGGCAAACAGATTGTACAAGGTTGTGAGACAATTCAGTTACCAGGTACGTAGCAACGGCTGGCTAACACGCCGACGTAGATCGAAAGAGAGATGACACACGTTTTTTTAATTGGACTGATGTTGATATATCTATATATCACCCTTACTTCTACGATCATTCTTTTACCATTGTTTATTATACGGACTCTATATTGGACTTGATTCCGCGTTTCTTGATCCTCGCTATATTGAAAATCTTTTTACTTATACATTCGCTATTGAGTTTCATTTATTCGTAAATCGCAACGTCGAAGCTGCATCGAGTCTGCATTGAAAATTTACTCACATCTTAATTCACGCTTTTATTATTAAGTATTCATTCGTAGATGCTAACAATAATTATTGCTTTAACTTTAACATTCAATAATTTCATCGTATGTAGAAATATAGAAATATTTGCACATTTTTATATAACAATGTGTTCAAAGTAGATATATATCGATATGTCCATATATACTACTTGATTTTATAGTTTAGTTGTTTTTATTATAAAGAGCTTAATTTCTGATTGCTTCGAGAGATAATTGCTTGAAGATGAAATCAATAATATTTCGTACTTTTTCCAGTAGTATACATATATATATATATATATATATATATATATA